GAATTAAATCAAAGGGAGTAAATACTATTGATTTATTTCTCATGAATGTATTGCATCATCATAAAAAAATAATTCTTTAATATAACATTTTGATGATTTACGCAGTGACGTTGAGTACATTAATTTAATTATAATTTAAATATATTATAAATTTAAATATTAAAATAAAAAGGGAATCCAATAACAGCAAGCAAATAAAAAATCAAAAGGATTGGTTGAATTTTATTAATGATCCATCAAACAATTTGGCTTTCATACATTATTGATGAATTTGTTCGGTTTCGGAATTGACTTCCTTTTTAATTTAATTAGGGTTGGACTTTTCCGTACTCACTTTTAAAGTGGTTAGGTCATTGGCGTGAAAATTTAATGGCGCAGTAAGATTTTAAATAAAATCAAATGTTAAAATTATAAAAAAAAGTTTTATATATTTACTCCGAGTATTTTGTGTAATATTAAAATGTAAGAACCTTTATGGTGTTTAAAATATTAGTATTATTTCCCCTTAATACTTTTATTTAGAAACTTTGCTAAAAATTTAGCATCCAATGTTGTCCACTAACCGGTTTCGTCAAAAATGGTCGTTAATCTAAAGCTTACCAGAGCGTTCCATATAAAAACTTGATTCGTGCTTTGTTTACATGTTTTTTCCCGTGAAGGTCTACTCATTTTCACGGAATTTCTAATCTTAAATCACGGAAATTTTCATCTAATTTACACGGATTCCGTGAAAAGCTCATTCCACGGAATTTTTATAGAAGCCACTGAGAAATAATGGAAATATTCAGGCAAAGATTATAGGGGTTCCGTAAATCATTTCCGTGTACTCGCTGTCTGTACTCCCCGCTTTGAAAGGAGATAAATATATTTGCTTTTCTTGAAGGTTCTCTTTCAGATTTATCTCGTTTCACTTTTCTTTCATTGCATCATAGTGATGATAAAAGAATTATGATCTATGAAAATTTATGATATTTATGATATTCTTCCAGACATGTTTTTTTCAAAAGGCAGAAAGAATAACTTGTTATCGTTATTTCCTGTCTAATCTAGTTATTATACTTGTCAAATTGGTTAAAAACTCTCTATAAAGTTATAGGATGGTTGCACCGTGCAATTTTTAAAGTATTCTAAAGTTCGTAAGTTTAATATCTTTATTTAAAATCTTTATAAATTTTTTTTTTTTTGTCATTTAACTAGACAAGTTAATACGAATGCAGTGTTAAAATAATTGATATGTTTTAATAATGTTAAATTAGGAACTTGAGAATTGCTACAAGTTTTATCTTCCGCTATAGGACATTCTAAAATCTTTTTCGTTCTATTTTTTTTTTTTTTCCAAGGAAAATATTAATAAATGAGATTTAAAAAAAATTAAGCGTAAGAAAATTTAATACTTACGGATCAATCCAAAATTCAGGACCATAATGATCATATTTAAAATCTTGAGGAGGTAAGTGAGGTATGATATCATTTTCATTTACAACTCTAAAAAATGTATAACCAGTGCTCTGCACAAAGTCAGCGAAAGCTTTATTACCAGTACGTGGTTCACCATAAGTATAAGTTAAAAGGTTAGAAGGATTTAATCCGGGAGTTCCGATTAAATCCAAGGTTTGAAAAACGGCTAATGAACCACCTAAGGAATGACCGGTGCTAATGACTTTATAACCAGGATTTTCTTTAACCAAATCTTTTATCAATTTGGTAATCTCTTTTTTTGTGTCATTATACGTGGCCAAAAAACCAAAATGTACTTTAGCTTTTTTAAATTTGGGATTATCAAATAATACTTGATTAAATTGTATGTCATTTATGAACCCTTGTACGTTTGCGGTGCCCCTATAGCTTACGATTATGGCCTTTTCTTTATCATTAATTGCCACGTAACCATTATTGTCCCTTGGCCCAGCTTTTGTGAAAAATTTTATAAGACGTGTCTCGGCTGTTTCTCCTGAACACGCCGCACCACATTTCCAATCGGTCACATCACAATACGCAGCACTAGTCATACAGAGATGTGGAAGGTTAGTCCGATGAAGAGAAATAAGTGAAAAGCACCTAGATAATCCTTACCTAGCGTATTTTACCCATAATTTAAATTCTCGAATGTCGGCGTCAGGAACTAGAATCTGGTCCTTTTGTCGACGATAAAGTGAGCGTATCGGCGAAGCTTCGCCAACAATACTAGTCAACACGAATAAGAACAGAATACAGATGACAAATGTCTTAAGGGAATTGTTATTAAACATGTTTGTAGTAAGTTAGTAATATTTTTACCGTATCAAACAGTAATGGGGTCGGTATGTTTTAAAGAGGGAATTGTAATATTTCACAAAGAAAACTAACAAGAATTTAAATTTGCGGTACGTATATCAGATGATGCAATTTGGGTAAATTTTGTGATAAGAACGCAGAACAAAAGCCCAGCTTTTGTATCAAAGAAAGTGATAAAGGAATGTGAAAAGCATAAAAGTTTTTAATTTTTTTTTTTTGTTGGTGGTTGAATTTATACGCAATTTTGTGCACAAACTGATACAAATCGTAAAACTTGACATCCGTTTTCAATCATTGTTGTTAAAATGAAATGAATCGGGAAATCCATATGGTATTAATTGGACTAATGTTATGGAAAACAAAACCTTTTGTTCTACCGGACAGTTGAAATGCAATATTTTAAGTACAAATATGTATTATATTTACCAACTTGATGGCTTTTGTGTTACATTTACCTGCATGAAATCACATTAACATAACCATTGTTTACCAATTCTTTTAAACTTTTAACCATAATTAAAAAATCACATGGAGAAATCCTTCGAAGGAAGAGAAAGTTTTAGGAACCCGTTTCAAGTGATGCGCAGTATATAATTAGGAATTTCAAGGTAGGATTACGTTCTTTTATTACAATATCCGCTTCTGTAATTTATGTGATTATTCCTGCAAATCGATCACATGACGCGAAAAAAAATCAGAGAAATGATTTATAAATAATGGTCCAAATAAATAAAATTTATAACAAGAATGAAAAGGTGTTGCAAAAACGGTAAAATGATAGATGCATCAAGATTCATCTGACACTCGTAAACAAGAAATAAACATAAAAAAGGGATTTTTTTTTTGAAAATATCATCAATGAGTCATTAAAAAATTGCGAAGTTGTAAAAAGATTATTAGTTTATGTATAATAGAATAGCTAAATATTGTGAATTATTCTTTCTTTAGTCAGAATATCAACAGTTACTAATGTCCAAATTTCTTAATTGTTCTACCTTCGCGCCCCAAAGCGACCGAATTCGAAATTAATAAAAAAAAATAAACCCGACTCGCCGATCCGAAGAGGCAAGAAAGTGGCACAATTTTTTTTGGCCCGAACAAATCGGATTCGACATCTTATCATTTCTAATTAAAAAAGAAGGAAATAAACAATTTAATTTGTATATTTTTTTATTTACAGTCTAGGTTACAAGAATATTTTATCGGAATCAAATTTTAAATATTTTTTTATTTTTTTTTATTTTGTAAATTTCATTCGTATAAAGCTTATGGAATAAATCGGATAATACTGGAAAATATGGGCAAAAGAATCACTTCCTATGGATCGAGACATAGCTTTTAAATATACAGAGCATCATGGTAAAAAGTATTTTTGCGATACTACACTTTCAAGTTGAGACGTTAGATTTATTACCTTCTTGCTTGTTAAGCGTTTTTCCACAATGTTTACGAGATTTACTATAAATAGCTTTTTACGAGCATACCACTACCCTCTTTTTTCTTCTACTCTTGGTAAAGCATAAAGCATGTGCTATAAGAACGTCGGAAATGAATCTTATCTAGTTAAATCAAACAAATTAAAATAAATTGTCTCTTTTATATTCTACTTGGAATTTCTATTTTTCTTGAAATAGATACTGTATGTACTGTACATTATAATTAGGTTTAGTAATGGTCAGTCAACAGTCAGTCAAAAGACTTTGACCGACCGACCGGTTGATAACAGTAATTATCGAGGAATGATATTATTTGCTTATTAGAAACTATAATGGCATTTTGATTATTGGCATTTTCTTCTAGCTTTTTTACCTTTCATATTTAGTGATGGCGTACTTTAATTTTCTTAATTTATGTAATTAAATAAATATTATTAAAATATGATCGAACAAATTGGTCCAAATCGGTAGGTCAACCGTCTGTCACAGTTATTAACCAGTCATGACCGTGACCATTAGTATCCCTTCCCTACCTTTTAATCTTTGTCTTAGCTAATTTAAAAAAGTTACAATTATAAAGAATATTCTAAAAATTTACAATTATCGTTTGGAGTAATAACTGCATGTTTCAAGACAGTCTCATCGCAATATTCTTAAAATGTAATATCGATAATTTTGCTTTTATCAATTCATTATTTTGTGTAAATTGAATTGATTAAAGATATTTCCTATTCCTTATCCAATGACTTTCGTCGTCTTTCTATGAATCCAGAGCTTTTAGATATGTTTTATGACAAGCTTCTTTACTATTCCTTGCTTAAGAGCTTTTTTTATTCAATAAATAATGTTATAGTTTGATAAAGTTCTACAGCAAAACTTTATATTTAAAATGATAAATTCTTTTTCACACGTTTCCTCACAACTTAAAATCATGAAATATACGTAAATTTTGACGATATTAAGTAATATCAACTAAAAAGGAAACCAATTTATTAATTAGAGTATTAGCTCTAACATTATAAGATAGATTTTGTTTTAATATTTTATTTAGTTTGCTTTATTGCTTTATTGTTTTAAAAATTTTATCATCATATTGCAAAGTGCGTACTTTGCGTAATAAATAAGTTGGTTCATTAAAACAAACCCACAATAAATCAATCAAAATTAGGGCGTTCTCAAGCAATGATTTGTTTATAATGTTCATGCACTTAAAGGATCTCAATCGTTACTTTGAGCAGCTTTTCTTCATTCATAATTTACAATATCATCAAATGAACTAAAACTAATAAAATGCTAAGTTCAATAATGAAAAGGAAGTTTGTAGCCCCAAAGTTTGTTAATAATATACTCACTTGACCGATTTTACTAATAAAAATTCTTCAATCCATTGAGTTTTACGCTCTTAGTAATTTAATAGGAAACTTCTATTTTTTGCTAGGAATTTCGATTAACTGCAGGGTGCAGATCTATTCTTTTGGAAGTTTCGAAACAATTGATGGAATTCGGAAAGTTCCTCTGAGAATTTACGAAATGTTTATATATATATTGGTTTTGAATGCCTGAGACGTTGCAAAAATAATCATGAATCAATATCAATTAATAAATTTTAAACAAAAAATTGACAATTTAATTTCAAATGACACATCAGATCAGCAAATGCAACCCGTTGTTAAAATAAAGCCTAAATATAAATTTGATAAATGTATTGAATGTAAGAGAATACACATTGAAGAAAATCATAAGCTTTGCGGTACTTGTTATAAATCAAGTACAATATTTAATCCAAGTGGAAACAAAATTATTGACGATTTTATCAAATTTACTCATAATACATTTAGTCATGACAGTCATGACCATGATAATGGTATTATAATGGAGTTTGTTCCATATGATCAATTCAAAAATATAGAATTTATCGGAGAGGGAGGATTTAGTAAAGTTTATAAAGCTATTTGGATTGATGGTCCAATAGATAATTGGAATAAAAAAGAAAAGAAATATAATCGGAGTTCTAATAAACTAGTTGCTCTTAAGAAACTTAACAATTCTAAAAACTTTACTTCTAAGGAGTTAAACGAGGTATATATAAATTTTCCTTTTTTTTTTTATTTATTATGATACATACTGAATTAATAATCTTTTTTTCAGCTTAAAATATTTTATCAATTAAGAAATGACAATGATGGAACTATTTCGTATTATGGAATTACGCAAGATCCTAATACTAAAGAATTTGTGATAATTATGGATTATTGTAATACGGGAGATCTATCCCATTATATAGCTAAAGATTTTTTTAATGTTAGTTGGGTTACAAAGTTAAGTCATTTATGGCAAATTGCAGAAGGCCTATCAAATATTCATGAGGGGGGTATTATCCACCGTGATTTTCATAGTGGAAATATTTTGACAGATAAAAATAGAGAAGTTGCCATAGGTGATTTAGGATTAAGTAAATCGGCTGCTGAAGGTGAAGATGACGAAATATATGGAATAATTCCTTATGTGGCCCCAGAGGTACTTCAAGGGCAAAAATATACAGAAGCATCAGATATTTATAGTTTTGGTATGATTATGTGGGAATATATGACAGGCAGAAGACCTTTTTGGGATCGTGCTCATGATACTGAGCTGATTATTGATATTTGTGATGGCTTACGTCCTCCAACAATTGATATTGTAGCACCTGAAGGTTATATTGAGTTGATGAAAGAATGCTGGGATCCTGATCAAAGTAAACGGCCAACAGCTGAAATAATTTGGAAGAAGTTGTATAGCATACATCCTAAACTACTTGATATTGTAGAATCATCAGAAATTGGACCTATAACAACAAACAATCCAGGCGCTTTTTATAAGAGTAGATCTTTAAGTAGCATGATAAGCTCCGCAGTATCCACAAGAAAGTTACGAAGTCAATCAATTTCATCGGATTTTGGTAATTAAAATTAAAATATTTATTTTACAACCAGTTAAATAACACATTTTGAATATGCTAAAATTATTAATAACCTTTTTTCCATTTTATTTTAAAAAAAAGGTAAACGAAAGTTTGAAAGCGATATATTTGAAAATAATGACGGTATGATATAATTTCAATAAATTTATACGATTCAAAAAAATCAAAAAAAAAATAACATTTAATAATTGAATGTATCTGTTTGATTTTATAGATAAAGGCAATAAAAAAATTAAATTATTGGAAGATGAAACTTATATGTCGAAAGAATTGGAATTTGATATTTAAGTACAAATATCTAATATGTAGCGATGCAATGAAAAACGATAGTGGTGATCGTTTACTATTAATCCAGAGCCAATCTATGGTTTTATATCAATGGTTGAGGTCCCAAATTGAAGATTAACAATTGGAGTTTCAATAGCTTTCTTGGTGAGTAACTTGGATTTGTTTTGTTACACAAATTCTAACTATTCTTTTTTTTATACTTTCTTATGATTAATCATATTTGCGACATATTCATTTGTTTTTATAAATAAAAAAAAATCTACCATAAATAAATAACATGATTTTTTTAATTTTAATGTTAACTATTGTTATACTGTGGTAAGGACCTATTAATTTTTTTTTTTTGATGGAGGATCTGATATTTAATATATTAAAAAAATTTTTGAAATTAGGCGTATCGATCAAATAAAAATGAAAATGAAATAATTTATAAATAATAAGGAAATATAATAAAATCAACTATTATTGCCTCATCCGGCGCTCTGCAATAGGCATTTGAGAAAAGAATGTTTCTAATTCTATCGAAAATCGAAGCATTTTTATATCTAATTTTACTTCCCATGGCTTTGCTACGAATCCTTTAAAATATCAATTGAATTGCGGCTAAATGACGGATAGAGAATTTAATTCAAAAATGGTCATTTTGACATATATTTTCATTAGTCCATTAGGTTCGAATGGATGAAAGGTTAGAAATGTCAAATTCCAACAGATTCGCGATGATCAATTTTGGCATAGTCAAAGGCCGAGAGTAACACAAATGTTTATCAAACAATATTAAGTATGTTATATTTATCTTCATTGAACCAAGTTCTAAAAATAGCAATCGAGAGATAAAATGAAGTTGTAGATGGAAATCTTTCCCGTCGGTACTCTTGATCCTAAAGAAAAATATTAATGATGACAATTGTTATAATATAACCCGTTTTATATGGACGTAATCCATGAAATTCTATTGGAAAATTCAAATCATGTGACATATGTAGTTGGTTAAAGAGCATTCTTCCGGCTTCACAACAACTTGTAATTTCCTTATGTAACCTGCCGCTTTTATGTTCAAAATGTTTTCTTTATCGTACTTAGGCATTTCATCAAAATATTTGTAATGTTCCAATTTGCAAATTAGTCCTTGGGTTTTCCTTATTATGAGGACACTTCCTTCCTACAAAGGATGATTATTGAGTTTTAAAGAAGGAAAAAAAAATCCCAAAAATAGACACGAAACCTTTTTTGACATTCTCTTGGATTCAAAATCCATTCCTAAAAAAGGTTTTTGATTATTTAATTGTTTTAATTTCGCGTAAAAATTGTCTTACCTTTGAAGATAACGGTCTTTGTTGAACGAGTCATTTTTCTTTATAATTTTTAACAATTGCATACTAGTAAAAAACATGACCATTTGTTTGTTCCGTTAGTTCTTCGGTCAGTGCCAAGCAAATTTCATCAATGTACATCGATTTAGCGTTAACTTCATGTTAACAGTTAAACCCTTGAACCGTAAGAGCAAGATTAGTAAATTTTTTATTTTTTAAAATAAAAAAAAAATACTTATTCATTTGTCAAATTGTGATTATTCTGTTCCTCAAGCGTACGTCCAAAAATTTCATATGTACTTATGAAAAAAAAATTTTCGAGATGCACTGTATTTGTATTTTAATATTACTAAAAATATTTGCTGTATTTATCGATCATGTTTCGTCACCAATAACACATAATAAAATGTATAATCGATCAAATGTTTTGATAAAAATGATCTAATAAACTGTCACCAGTTAAAACGGCCAGAGTTAAAATTAAATATTTTAACCGGTTAATTAACTGAATAAACATTAACCAGTTCCAACCTCTAGGCCGAAACAGTATTATCTTGTTTAGCGCTCTTAAAAATTCGGTGAACTTATGCAATATAATACTATTCATGATGCCAACGGTGTTGTTGATATCCCTATTAAAAAACTCGATATTGATTATCTAAAGAACCTGATATGGAATATTATAAAGGAAAGTAAGGAATGTTCCAACAAAGCTATTCAAATGATGTTATGGAAAGTTGAGATTCCGTGCAAAGATAAGCTGTTGAGTATACTTAACGAAATGTTTCATAAAGGGGAAGACATTAAACATAATCTCAGTGAAGAGTTGGACCCAGTTGATCCTTTTAGTGAATATTTTCCAATCGATTATCAACCTCCACCTAAAACCATTCACATAATCGTGCAACTACCACCGCTTACCACCACTACCAAATGGTTATACCTCTCGAATAAGAAATTTGCAGTCCATTTCGTTTCTCATTCATTGTTCATCCTTTCAGCCACCACATTAGCTGCTATTCTTTCTTTGCAAAAACCAATCTCTCCTTATAGACAAATTTTTAGACACAAGTTCTATGATCGTAAACGAGCTATGGATAAGATTGTAAAAGTTTCCAACAATAATTATATCAAACGCAAAGATCAACATTTTATTTTGAAATAGGAAAATCGCGAGCAGGAATGGAGTAACCTCATATATAGAGGTTGGAACTGGCACAAAAATCCTTAACCGGATAAATTTAACTCAGGCCGGCACTATAAATTTAGCGATATTTTGTAATCATAAAAAAATTTTAATTCCGCCCGAAAATTAAATTTCGGCCAGTGTTAAAATTAAATATTTTTAACCGGTTAACAAGATTATATTTTTTTCGATTTGGTTAATGTCAACTTTCACCAACGGATTGCAGGCTTAGTAGACAAGTTGTCTATAGCATTGATAAGGTAATACAAGAAATCCTTTGTCGCTGTTTTAAAGCAAAGAATCGACTTCATCTAGATGAGTATCAAAGATACATTGATAATGTTTTACAGTTTAAAACATATCATTGGTGATGCCCGTAGCTTCTTCAAGGAAATATTACAGGAAATTGGTTTTGTTATGCGCAAACGGGATATACGCAAGCAAAAAGATCTTGGGGAATACTTTATTATTCCAATATATACGGGATTGACGTACGCTTTTTGCACTAATGTTTTAGTGCAACTAAAACCTTTGGATAAAGCGTCAGCATTCATGATGTTTTTTGACAAATATGACTACTCAAGACAGACACATGAAAGTGCAAAGGAACATTTAAAACAAAATGTCAAACAGTATTATGTATGTCATTTGATCAAAGTGAAATATGTGACCAAATATATGCAAACCTGTCTCAGCTCAAGAACATTTTAATATTGCTTTGTTTGATACCGGGTTTATTTCAAAGTTACTGGATGACCTTCTATATCCTGAATATATTGCATCGCAAACGGACTGATGTTGCTGGAAGAGTATCAAAGGCGTTTGTAATCTCATTGGGATCACTCAGCAGACTGTTAAGAGAGACTAGTCGGACTTCTATTGGTGATGTTGAAAGAGCAGGCTTTATATTTCTAACAAAACCCACCAAAACTCTTTCTAATAATGAATTCAATACCGTTATGCCTTTTATGTTGATGAAGATTCTTAACAAAATGCTTCTATCTTTTCCAGAGGATCTCCTGTTGCCAGATGAACTTTTTCTTATTCCAACAAAAGATCGCCCTTGGAGGTGGCAAGATTTTGAGTCCCTTCATGGATACTATCAAAGAGCACTTATTAAGTCTTTAATTAACGTTAGAAACGCAAAAATTATGTTTTAGAACGAAGCATTAGACAGCTTCAAAAAAGATTTAAAAGACGCAAAAGGAGGGAATGCTTATATTATCAAAGAACAAATCAAAATAGAAAAAATTTGTCTTGCAGTTAAAAACAAAAAAGCTGGTGCCTATCTGATATATTTCGTGGTGCAAAAGGTAACACGACACTTATTCATCAACAATTAAAATTACAAGATTTGGGTGTATTTTACTGAGAAAGAGAAGTTTCTTGTTAAAACAACAAACATTGCACAATTCAGCAAATGTATTGTGTGATGATAACACTCAAACGTCTATTTTTCATTGTGATGAATAAAGTGCCAAAATTGATCATCGTTGGGCTATTAATTCTGCTTCTGATAGAAAACCATTTGCAATTTTCATGCAAGATAAACATTCAGAATATGATAACAAAGGGTCCCAAAGCAAACGGACCAGAACTTAATTCGTGGTATGATACAACACTTCAGTCAGTAAGTAGCTATGCTCATGACTATGATATAATCCTCATATTCTTCACAGTGCGACGTTGTACAGGAAAAAATCTTCAGCAGATGCCTCGGCTGGTTTAAATTCAATTGGTGGCATTACTAAACCACGATGGGCAAACGTTGGTGAAAGGTAGTCCCTAATACAATCTTCATCAATGAGAAGCAACAAGTCTTTTCTTACCCTATTCCAGAGGAAGACCTTTTTTACTGACATATGATGATAGTTATTTGATTAATGTACTGTACACTAGATTCCGATAATTATGTTTTCTTTAAAAAAAAGCTACTTTTTTCTTTCTGCTTCAAATGTAAAAATTTTTAGAATTTATTTGAACTGTGAATTAGTTAATATAATATTTTAATTTACAGATGTGAACATATTTCACAAATACTTTATTAAAATGAATTTCTGCCTATTGTAAAGTGATAACAATGTTTTGAGATAAATGAGCAAATAAATAAATGTTGTTCTTATTACTATAGTTCTTGTTCCTGATATTCCACCCTGCCTTATATCCAAAAAAATTTTGCGAATACTTTGATAGAATTCCTTACCGTAATTGCGATATTAAACAAAACTTCAAGGATTTTGTATCAGACTTACAATTTCGAATTTTTGAGATCAGCTGGTCTTGGATAAATTCAATTAAGGAGGTCAGCTAAAGAATACTATTCACGAGTCACTCAATTGAAAATGGTATTTCATTCTAAAAGTGATTGAATGCGAAACATTTGATGTGCATTACCTTGATCTATTCACAGGTCTTATGATGCCTTTTAATTTTGATACTAATTTTTAAACTGCATTGATGCATTCAGTTTTACCAAAAACAAAGAGACTAGAACCTGCTAAAGGTTAAAGATTTCTTTGATGAACTTTAAGTTCACAGCCTTCTATCAAATAGCAAGTATTTCTACGAGAAAGTAATTCTCCTTGTTAGTCATTAACAATATTTCATTTGCATGTTTCTCAGGTAAATATGCAAGAAATTAAATGTCTAGTTAAAATAAGCGAATATTTTCGTTATCATTATTGTTCTCAGGTGTTTTTAGCATCGATCATGATAAACCAATCATTTTAATATCTTTTCTTTGATTTTTCTATATTTTCTATAAATAATTCCTGTACCGGAAGATTTCTGGCGAAATATTAACAAATTCATTTTAAATTACTCGAACAGAACTTCATATCCTTTAAATACTTCGTGATATACTCCAATCATACTTTATTCATCACCTACATACTCCTTCTCTTGCCCACTGACCTTACTTTACCAGTATTATTCAAAAAATTAACTTCTTTGTTATTTTCTACCATGACTGGCAATCTCTTTTGCCACTTGCGATTGGATGCAGCATCTTTGCCAAATTCATCTCGAAATAATCACAAGAGCGGCTGGCTGCATTGACTGCCAGTGAAAATAACTGCTGCTGTGACTATCATAGTCTTTCATATTGTTTTATCTATGAAATTGTCCAGCTTCAAGCATAATCTTCACCAGAATTATCCCAAAATCCCATATTTTCGTTAGATTTAGATGTTTAATTATGCTTTGAAAAAATTTTTTTTTAAAACAGCCGGTTTTTTTATAACGAACGTTCAAAAGAGCTTAAAGTTATATAGGAATATAAACTATAAATTTGAAACGCCTAAAATTAAGAAAATTGCCATTCAAATAATTTTCAACACACGCATATGAATTTGGATTTGTAAACTATTTAAAATAATGTTAATTTATGACTGCAAATTTAATACATGAAATGGATATTCAATTGAATTCGGAAAATTTTCTGCGTATTTTGTGTACCCATAATAAAATACATTGGTATAATCAACTACTTAGTACTATTTATTATTATTTCTTTTTATTTCATTAATAACATCCTTAGTACGATCTGAATATTGTTCATCTGAATCATTGAGAAATATTCCGATATCAACACTATTCTTCTTATTTATTATGTCCAGTGTCTGTTTGATGATAGATTTTGCACATATTACCTCTTTCAAAACTAAAGCAAGCGGATCAGATTTGGATAAACGTCCTGCAACCTCACGGACATTTCTACGTTGAACACGAGAAATATACCCCTTTGGGTAGTCCATTGTAATGACCTGAATCATGTTAGCCCCATTAAGAATCCCAACAACTTGTATTTTTCTCACAAGGTCTTCTACTCCAATAGAAAGTTGTGTTAACATATCCTTCATCAACTTACACAGCTTTAATGTATCAGTCAAATATTTAGTACCGTTCTACCCTTCCCATTTGCGCCCTGCACCAAACACTATGCGCTTCTTATATTGTCTGAAAACACCATCCCCTTTTCGACCAATAATTTTTCGATCAGCTACTGACCTTTCAATGTTCTTTCGGTCGCTGGACGCCAAACTCATCCCTTCCCCTCGCACTAAATTAATGTCCAAATTGTCAAAGGCCGGGTCAATTAAGCGACTCCAAACACACATTTCGTACCAACCCTCTAATTTTGTTGAGTCAAAGGGATCTACATCCTTCTCCCACAAAAACAACATCCCTCGATAAGCAAAATTAATGAAGTCCAGATCAAAATGAAGGTTTCGATCAAATTCACCTCCATCTGGTACAAGCGGTTCAGAAAGTGCTTTTCGTAATTTCTTAATGTTGTCAGTCGTGTACTTCTTTAACAATTCTACATGAGAAGGTTCGAGTTTCGGCTTAGCTTTAACCTCTGAGGTGGTGATCTCTTTCCATTCTTCTTTGGAAAACAACAATTCAGTAGCTACATCAATATCGTTGACTATAAACGAGTGCAAATAAGATTCGTGTGTCAATTTTCGTGCATACTCATAAATCACTTTTTCAACAACACGACCAGAGGACTCGAGAGTCCACATCTTTGCCGGGTCTAGTTTATGATATGCAATATCAAAGTCGGTAGGGTTACACTCTTGTGCATCTTCGATCTCGTTATCGTCAAAATCATTTGATTCGGTGGATTGTCTTTTCGGCTGAATCAAAAAATAAGGTTATGAAAAGTATCACTGCAAATTAAATATTACGTAGTATTGCTCACCATTTTTGACTTCTCTTGATGTTTTGAACTAGAAGACTCCATTTCATTGTGATTGGGTTCCTAGCAATATAATAATATTCGGTTAGCAAGATTCTCAACTAACACGTACATAAGACTACCTTTTATGAATATAAATAATTGAGTTAATTTACTAACCACATCAACATTCCCTTTTGTCTTCCTCTTTTTATTACTTCTTCGTTCTTGAATTTCTAATGCCTTTAGATCATTATTATATTAATAAAAAAAATGACTTCATTTATGTTTGGAAAAATAACAAATAGAAAAAATCACCTCTCCTAATCGTGCTGTTGCTTTCTTAGTAATCAACACTTTTGCCGTATCTACGCTTTTATACACTTCCCGATCAGTTTTCCTCTATAATGCGATAGGTTAATATTGGCATGAGCTTGCTTGTGAAAAAGACATAGTTAACTTACTATTTCATATTCATGGTCCAATTCCTCAAAAAATTCGCGAATTTCTCTTCTTTCAAACGTATCATTGATACTATCAAATATTTTTTTTGCCTTTTTCTTTGCTCCACTCTGTGCGAAAGAGGATTCAATAATTTTTTTGAAAGTTCTTATGAATGCATACAAAATATCTTGTTTGCTATCGGATGTGAATATCAAATCGTCATTATCTTTGAGGCAATTAAGGCAGTTTAAAATGCTCCAGTCGACAGGATCAGAACCATTTGCGTATTCTTCAATATAACGTTCAAAATTCATGTCTAGGTCAAAACATAAAAATGTCGTTAAATATCGATTTCCTTGGATGTAAACAGAATTTTTTTTGTGCCAGTGCCACAACATAATATTCTGGAAAAGAGGCTCAGGCTGAGGCACTAAGAGCCGTTACGAGCATGTAACGAGTCATAGCGATTTACCCGCAGACTCTAATCCAAGCATCGGCCAAAGGGCTGAACCATATGGACGTAGGACATTACGTTGCTGGTATACTGGAAGAGAGGCTCAGGCTGAGGCACTAAGAGCCGTTACGAGCATATAACGAGTCATAGAGATTTACCCGCAGACTCTAATCCAAGCATCGGCCAAAGGGCTGAACCGTATGGACGTAGGATACCGTTAACGCATCTTTCATTTGTGGCAATGTGAAAAAAATACTTACTTGGTCAGCTTCGGTAAAAGTTAGACGGGATGTATTCTTGGGATAACTTGAGAAAATGGTTTTTATGCTACGATTACGCTCTCTGACTAAAGGTTACACGGGGTGATTGATACACGTGATGTAAATTTGTAAATAACGTGCTGGCGATCATAAGTGCAAATCTTAATGACCTAATCATAGTTTTGGTGATAATTGTGAAGGTTCTTTACGGTATATTAATGAGCGATGAAAAAATAAATACAATAGCTTGTTAAACATGATAATGATAAGATGAATTATGCTACAATTGCAAACTTAAGTTTATTGCTTGAAGTGATGCAGGTAAGACAATATTTCAACTTATCTTGGGAATACAACTTTGCTAATTCAGGATCATAAGGGAATTGATTCCCATTTTTGAGGTACCATGAGCCATATAATCCATAATTCCCATGTTTTCCATCACAGATAGGGCATGGTGAGTCCCACGGCTGAGCTAATGCAAAATTATAATTATCAATCCCCCTAAAACTATTTCAGAATTTCAGGTATGTGAAATGCTTTAAGACAGTTTCAATAATTAATTCTGGATAAGGTTTGGCATAGGTTTGAAATCAGAGGCTTGTGGTTTTGCTGATACACTTATCACAGCTTCTGATAATTGCCATGGTTCACATCCAGTTTCTTTTTTATATCTTTTGTATAATTTAGTATGAATCTTATCCGTCAAAACGCTTGGTAACCCACTTAATTTGACATGCCAATCCAGATATTCGGGAGTTAATATTTTATCAGACTTGGTCATGTTGCCTTTTATATGAATCAATTTAAATTTAATTAGGTAGTAGTTGACTTGTAAAAAAATAGTTTCTCAAGAGAAACGCAAATGTAGTATTATGCAATGCACTTCTGGTCAAAGTGATCAGATTATGCAGTTATCTCAATTTCACGCTGTTCACATTTAATAAAATAGGATCCAGTTTTATATCTACCTTCTATGCTTTCTTCATCACCATGATCTAACTTGCACAATGAGCATGATGTCTTATCAGTAATTCCATAATAATCGAAATCTTCACTACTAAATTCTCTATATAAGTTAGGATATTGATCTAATGTCTTGTTGCGAAAATAGGATTGGTCATAAGTTAGATTAGTTATAGATATTTGTGAATAAGATGTGATTACCTTAGCCTTAATCAGATCGTTCCCCAAGGGAACAGTGTTCAAAGTCACATGACTCTGATGATCACTAGTAATCATTTTTACTTGATTTATGACATTTTGGATTTGTGAATTAGTTAGTTTTGAAATCTCAGTTGCGCTATATGAGACCAGCTTGATTTTGTCTACCCCAACTCCATTTTTTCCAAATAACATGAGGTGTTTTCTAGCCCTAAGAGTTTTCTTGCGCAAGTTATCTTGTGTGATTTTAGTAGGAAGAAATGGTTTCATCTTTTTGTAAATCATTGATCTTGCCGTTTTATCTTTGATTCTACTATCAGCAGTAAGTGCATCTACCTTGCTTTCGAATTCAAGGGAATAATTGTACCAGTCTAAGATTTCCTGCTGACCAGACTTTATTGCTGTATCAAATAGATAAGACAAGTGTTGGGCAGAACCCGAAATCATATTCTCTGATCCATTGCAAGAGGAATTAGTATTGGTAGAGCTGATATTGTCTTCAGTGGATATGGATGAACAGGTGCCAAAGGTATCACACAGCTCTTGTATTAGACCCTGTTCTACGATTTGATTTCTATCTAGTGATTCCTCCGGAATCAACTCATCATTATCTTGCTCCGTGAGGTCTGGTTCAACTGAAGTCATATGACTCTGATCGTTCCCTAAGGGAATGGTTTTTTCGAACTCTTCCGAAATTTCTGAAATTATCTGATCATCTTTTTCAGAGATGCATGATGAGCTGGAAATCAACAGGTCCTGAACAATTGATTCATGTTGAAGTTTCTCCTCTCGCTTTCTCTGCCTTATCTCATCACTAACCTTTTTCTTATTCGCATTATCTAAGAAAGTATCCACTCCCCTTTCCTCCGATGTCTTAGAGCTGACAGTTACCTTTGATACTGCTTCATTT